GTGCAGCCTTTATTCTTACGCTGGCTCTCAGTTTCTAAATATCAACTCAAACCAACCGTCAAACCCTGGAAGTCTTTTGGATGAGTTGCATTCATTTGCTCTGGAAGCGCTCCAGAAACAGAATCATTAGTAAAACTCATTAACAGTTTTGTTTAATATTGTCACTCATCTTTGTGTTTATTGCACATTACTTGTTGCTATTGAACTGCAGACTTCAGCCCAGTATTTTCTCCAATAATATGACTCAGTTTGTTGTGTAGCACGCTTTCAAAAAACAAAAAATGTCTTGTACCATCGGAGGTAAAGAAACTTCTGCTGTGAGACTTTTCACACGGAGCATTTGTCGTTGTGAAAAGAGCACAGCTGGAAACTGCTGGTGGAAATTTGTACGTTAATGTAACTTGACTTTAAAAAAACATGCAAAACTAGAGAAATTTCAAATGGATGTTCATCAGTTTATCACTTTGAACGACTTGCTGACCAATCAGCTTTATTTATCTCACATCTCCACCTACAGCAACCACAAAGATAGATTTAAAGCCAGAACGTTATCGCTGTGAGGCAACAGATGGAGCTAATCTCTGCATCGCTGTGCTGCTAAAATACAAAACATGTCATTCAAACCTTTTTATATAACTCAAAGGAAGAAGCAGCAAAATGTATATTTTTGTTACAGTATTTGGTTATAGACTGCCTTGAAAATCTGCACATTAACACCCAGAAGAAATGCTGCAAATATTTACTTTTTGCTTCCTGGTAACATGAAGTTTTGAGACATCTAAGAGCCACTTAAAGCCCAGTTATTAATCCTCAGGGCCTGTGTAGACTGTTCTGTTATTGTACCTGTGCTCCTGAGTAAGTATAATATGAATATAATATAACATGGCATAGAAAGATGGATGGATGGTATAAGACAGTATGAAAATACATAGTGTTTAACTTCTCTTACCAAAACATGATTGAAATTGAGATGACAGTCTTGCATATTTTCATTAGCGCAGTGGTGACTGGCTGTGAGGATTTGGTAATGAAGTCCAGACTCCCCGAGCATTCACCCCTTTAACTTCACTTAAATTCCACTTAGTGAAAGTGAAATTCAAGTCCCTTCCCTCTTATTGCTGCACAATATTAAAGTCCTAGATGCAGCTCCATCGTCGTGTTATTTTGGGGGGTTTTGTGCAATTTTTCTCAAAATTAGGATGAGCATCAGCCCCTATTAGTTAAATGGAACAATGCATCCATCATTTCTGACAAAAAATAAAAGCAGGCCATTTGTTTTTTAGCCAAAAGGAGAAAAGTTGCTGGAAGCTAAAATGAACTCTTTGATCTGCAACCTACTGAAAAGTCTCCAGATGAGTTTTACATGTTTCCAGGTGACTCAAATGTGGAGTTTATGGCTCCATAAATGATTTGAGTAAGATTTTCGTTTCTGTTACTGTTTTTAATCCTAATATAGAATATCGTTAGCTTCATAGCATAAGTGCCTAAGTCATTGACTTAGTCAATGACTTAGGCAATTATGCTATGAAGCTAACATATGTAAAGTAATACGGGCAAACTTCTCAGTCTTTGTTAGCAAGCGTGTAAAAGTTCAAGTAAATTTAGCTTCCACTTGTCTTTAGGCTCCAGTGACTATTTAACCTGCCTGAATGCAGGTTTTAGACGCGTCTGCAAGATTAATGCTAGGTTTGTTTTGCTCTGTTAATTTCACAATATTTTCTAGAAAGTCTGATCCAACCCTTCTACTTGGATGTAGGAAGAATATCTTGAATATTACTAGAGATATATATTTCGGAAAGAAAACCAGCATTTTTGTGCTGACTACAGTAAGTGTGGTGCAGCATAGATACATAAATTGCTTTTGTAACAAAGCAAACAGTCGCTGCTGATTCCCCTCTGCACTGATCCAGTCCCACATGCTGTCCACTTCAACAGGTGGAGTAAAATGCCTAGTATTACATTCTTTATTTCTCCAATTTAAAGTCATATTGAGATTAAAACGAATGAGAGCAGCTCATAAGTACAGTGTGCTGCTCTTCAGTAGGCTTCCAGAAAGAGCCCAGTCAAAAGTGAGCTTTTAGGGAGATGGGAGATAAAACAGGTGGCTCGAGTGGAGTTTCACGATAAAACAAAATAAAAATGTTCTAAAGGAGCAGAAAGTCCTTTAAACAAAGTCACACATTTGGGGTTCAAAGGTCCAAAGGACAGAATTTTCCATTGTCAAGCGACGAGTGAAAAACAGTGTGGAGGTGTGAGGTTGAGTCAGTGTTTTCTCATAAAAAGGGTTGACTTTTAAGTTTCCTCTGTGGTAAATAGCCATCAGTGTCAGGGGGTGCCAGCTAATATTCCTGTTTGTTATTTTGCTGTTTTATATGAATGCGTGTTACATTAGTGCATGTTCCTGTACTGCTGCTGTTAGCGATGTGCTGTGTGATTTGACATGAATGATTCATGAGCAGCTGTTGCTGGTGTGTTAATAATCAACGCCCGGAGCATTTCACTCTTCCTCTCTTTCATTATCTCTCCATCTCTTTTTTCTTCTTTTTCTTTCTGACTAATTTTCCCTCTCACTCGTTCTCTCTCTCTTTCTCTCTCTTCCCTCAGGTCTCTCTGCCTCTCCCTCTCTACCTGCACACCTTGAACCAAGGTAATAACAGCCAGAAAAACAGGACAAGTCTATTCCTGCTGCTTCTTCTCTCTCTTTCACCTAATGTTCTGTTTTTTCTCCCTCGTTTACTATCACTTTCCCTCTCTGTTCACTTGTTTCTTCTTGCCCCCGGTGTGTCAGTAAGTAATTAGTTTCATTTGAGGAAGGTGGGAAAGAGAGAGAACAAATGGGGAGCACCCATTTATTCCAGTGCTAGTTAGCGATTTGCTGAGCTGCTGATTAGTTTATTAGTTGTGCGAGTAAAGTGAGCAGGAGCTTCAGTATCAGAGACGGATTTACATCTTACAGACCTGAATTACACAGAACATCATGGCTAAGAAACATCTGGTAAGCTTGATCAATTTCAGACATTCTTCTCTTCTTATCTCTGAAAACCGTCGATAACTCTTCAATAACTGTCCCATGTTTCATCTCATGGGACCTAAAAAGATGAGTACTTTTAACTATAAATATAACCCACAGCAACAAATTGTTTTAAATTTGTTACATGAGTGTAATTAGAAGCTCGAGAGGATGCGGTGTTTCCAGGAAAATGTTGTGCACAACAAGCAACCTCCTGAAGATTTAGCGTTTGCTATGGCCAGGGGTGTGTCCAGGAGGGGGGGTGTGGTGTTCGTGTGTGTGTGTGTGTGTGTGTGTGTGTGTGTGTGTGTGTGTGTGTGTGTGTGTGTATTGTAGGACTAACATACAATTAACTTACAATCCTCCACATGATTGGATGACAGAATGGATAGGACCAGCAGAGGAATGTAATGTAATACTTTAGCATCTTTATGTTATGGCGCGTTGCACTTTTACTCCAAATACTTCAAATATAAACAAAGTGCTTTGCACTCAATACCATTTATTTTAAAACTGCAGATTTTGAAATATAAATCAACTCGTATGTTATGCTGCATTCAAAATGTACCCAGAAATATGGAAGTAGTAAAATCACCTCCAGCTGCCACATTGAAGGTTTCTAGTTAGGTGACAGAAGAATCCCGATGTTTGCATGATTCAGCATAATAAGTTCATTTTGTCAGGAACCTGAAAATATGCAGAGCTGTGAAGTCGCCTCGCTGTTCCTGATTTTTTGCATATTCGTCAAACTTACATGTTTCAGACGTTTCCTGACCTCTGTGACCTCGGTTCTTTAAACATTTATAAAAAGCACTTTGCGAGGAACAAACACATGAATGCTGTCATCAAAGCTAGCTTCTTTCATCTCCAGCTACTCACAAAAATGAAATCTTTCTGCTGTTTCAGAGACTTTGAGAGCGTTAGCTGTGCATTCATTTCACTTCGACTTTAAGAGTCTTTATTCAGGTGTCAGTCAGTCACTGCAGCTGGTCCAAAATGCTGCGGGACAGTTATTAATTTTCAGATGCAAGCGAGACTTCATGTCCCCCATATTGGAGCTCCTCCACCAACTGCCAGAGTTTGCATGGGTTTGCACCGTCTTGCCTCTGTGATCTTTTAAGTTTACACATTATGTCAAGATCCCTGAGGTCTGCTGAACAAATGCCCCCAACTGTCCAGAGGTCCAGATTAAAGCACAGAGGAACAAATAACTCCTCACCTCAGGACCTCCCTAACATTAAACCCATTTTTTATATCTGCTATTTATTACTGATTATCCAGAATTACTTAAACCATAACCAAAGAGATAAGGTGCCTCTGCAGCCAGAGAGCGTTAATATGCATTTTTTCTTATTGTCAGTTTGCACTCTGGGGTTCTTATAACATTTACTGTTTTCTAGGTAAAAGCCCAAATGAGCCGTGCACAAAAAGAAAACAAAAATTCATTACAGCAAGACGAGAATGTTTGACATCCATGAAAATCTGGTGAAACTCGATTGTCCATTTCCATCTAACTCCTATCTTGATTCTCTGTTAAACAGCACTTCTGAGAACTTAAACCAGTTTTGTGAATGCACAGATAACGTACGTGTTGATTTGTAATTCTGGTTTATTCCAGCCTGCTGTGTTTCCCATTAATTTGTCTATTGCAGCTCTGTGAATCATCCAAACTTTGCTAAGCTCGTGGTAGAGTTTTGACTCATGATCGAGTTGCATAACAACAGCATCAAGCACAAACTCTCTGCAGCTTACTAAAGAAACACATTTTGTGAAGTTCAATTCAGTCTAAAAAATCAAAATAGTAATATATGTAAGTCTGGCCTTTATGTTTGAGTCTATTGACTGAGGCGTGTGTTTGTATGAGTGTGTTGAGTAAGTGTGGGCGTGCTGACTTCCTGCTATGAGGAAACTCTCTTCCGATGGAGACACGCTGAAACGTTTCAGGTCCGAACTGATGTGGAAACACACTGAACAGTGACAACACACACACACAAACACAGACACACTTATTTACACACACTTGTTTTCACTTCATCAGGGTTCAGGCTGAGTTTGCTACCAGCGCTCATCGGGTCTCGTCTGTCGGGTACTGATGGCAGATCTGTGCTCCGTCTGACGAGAGCGCTGCCTCATCATCGCATTAATAATTTGTTCAGCATGTCAGATGACAACAACGAACTGTTGCGATCACGAGGGCTGTCAGCAGCGACACGTGGAGTGTGATCTTCTTATTTTGTTTGGAAACTCCTGAATGGCAAAACAGAACAGAAATTTAAGTTAAAGTGAAGCTGAGAAGCAACAGAGGAACAGAATGGTGAGTGCAAACACACTTTCTGTTTTTGGAAAACTGGCCACAACAAAAAGGCTTAGAAATGCCAAAATGCCGCTTTATTCAGTTTTTTTGCACTGTAGCTTCTCTAATTGTATACAGTTAAGTCATGCAGTTGCAGAGCCACATGTTTCAGCATGGGGCTGTAACGGTCATTCATCTTATGCTGCCTGCATTCTGCTGTAATAACAATGACAATACAGGTTCTCAGATATTATTGCTTGATTTTTCACACAGTGCTTGTATTTTTAGCTGTTATAAAAAGCAGTGGGAAATATCTGTTGTACTACAGGCCCATGAGTCATATTCAGTATTTTTCTCTTATGATGCATTCTGAGTTACTGTGACCATAATTACATGATAAAAGCTGCTAATGTCTTCGTATTTCTTCCTGACGTGCCTAGACTGATGTTGTCACTCAACCAGGTTGGGCTAGAGGCAAAATGGACCTGAATCTTTGCCAGACTAGAGCCAAGAAGAACTACTGCTGATCCAAAATGCACAGGAGCAGAATACTAACAGGCATACAACAGAAGCAGCACCAGATGCATGATCATCTATTCAGAAATTCAATTAGTTATCGGGATGCATCAGTCTAATAGTAATAATGCACTAAGAGTGGATGTGAACTCACAGAAAGTCATTTATAAGCAAATTTATGTAAAAATGGACAGTCTCGGTCGTTGTGTCCTTGGGCAAGACACTTCACCCGTTGCCTACTGGTGGTGGTCAGAGGGCCCGGTGGCGCCAGTGTCCGGCAGCCTCGCCTCTGTCAGTGCGCCCCAGGGTGGCTGTGGCTACAATGTAGCTGCCATCAGCAGTGTGTGGATGAGTGTGTGAATGGGTGGATGACTGGATGTGTAAAGCGCTTTGGGGTCCTTTGGGACTAGTAAAGCACTATACAAATACAGACCATTTACCAAAAAACAGCTGAAATTCCAGCAATGTTTATTTCACTGAGGCTGGTAAAGAGAGCCTCTGTCTTCTTCGTGGTTTATATTCTGTGTCTCATATCAAAACACGCTGTTTTTTTCACGCCACGGTCGAAAACAGAGGTTAAAACATTTTGGCGTTGCTTTAAACGTAATTCCCAGTCAGCAATCTTTCTCAATCTTTCTTACTTGTATTGGCAAGTCACTTAAGCCTGTTTTACATTTTTGTGTAGATCTCACTGGCTGATTTTACACTTGAACATCACCTTTGTGACGTCTTAATTTTTTGTGAAGCAGTTTTACACATTTACAGAAAAAACAAGAAAAAACCTCCAAAATCATTTATCTACAGTTTAGACTAAAAATTAACTTCAGAAACAGTGTGTACTTCTTTTCCCAGAGTTCAGCAGACTTTGGTGGGTGCAGTGACGCTTGAGCATAGTGGCTACTGATTGGTTATCAGCAGCTCTGATTCGCACGATCACTCTGCCAGCCTATCCTGCTTCCTGGTTACTGAAAAACTAAATGATGTGGGGATATTAAAGCTCCTTCTCTCTCTGTACTGCAGCATGCTGTGGTGAGGCGCAGATAAGGAGGACCCAACCACTGAAATACACCTATACTCACCATGAGCATGTCAGCAGTGCACTCCGCCTCCCCTCCTGCTGAGGAACCAGTGACACCCCCACCCTTGACCACACCTCCTCGCAAAGCTTCAGTCCGGCTCCAGGAGAGGTGAGCATTAACTATGCATAATCTTGCTTTCTAAAACCCTCAGTCCTCTAAAAATGTCATTTTTTAAATTTACACTTTTGTGACTAAAATGTGTTTGTTAAAACTCTCAATATATGTTTTCTTTAGTTAGTTTAAAATTGCTATCAATCATCTTTTTCTCTTGAATGTTTTCTTATTTTGCAGGCGGGGCTCTAATTTGTCTCTTCTTTTGGATGTGAACACTTTGGGGGTGGAGACTGTCTGTTCTGTCTCCACCCCAAAGGAGGTGTGGCTTCAGCTGCTTCACACCTCCTCACGACCACTCACACACACGCTGCTGCAGGAAGCTGCCATTGACACAAATACGCTGAATGTAGAGTACCAGGTACACTCAAAACATTGCAAACATTCAACACATTAAAATTAAGCAGAGACAAAAGGGAAATATGAGGTGAAACAAACTAAATATCTGCAGGACTTTGAACTGTTCCTGCTGTGCATGTAACACGTGCCAGCAGTAACTGCTGATTCTGGATTGAACGTGTTTTTAGGTCTACCTTCAGTAGATTTGTGATTTCCTTCATGTCTTACAAGCAGCACTGTGTCAAAGTCTAAACTGGCCCAACTTTCATGTTGATGATTGTCACTGCTGAATATTAGTCTTCACTGTAAAAGATAAACACCGCAGATGGCTCATCAGCTCAGGATGATGGGGTTGCATTCTGAAACTTCTGAAAAGTTCAGGTTTTGACACAGTGAAGCACAATCACTTTGTGTTGCACTTTGTACTGTCATGGACAATGGAAAACCCCTCAAATTGCTCATATTGTGAAGTCTTTATTGGAGTCTTTTGCCCAAAACAGCTGAAAACAAATGTCTATGAAATTTTTTACCTTCCTCCTCTCCTTCCTGTTTGTCTGACTGTATGTACCTGCAGTACAAAAGCAAAGCTATGATATCTAGAAAACATCAGATCCACCAATTACCTTAAAATCCTGAACATTTACTCCAGAATTAGTGCTTTCTAGCAGGTATGGAATAGCTTTCTGAGACTGTTAAACTCTCCAACTTTCAGGACAGTTTTAACATTCATTAATATTCCCGTCTCCCCAACAGAAGATCCCTCCGAACTTTGTGAACGCTGCTGACCTCGATGTTCCGGGACACATGATGAAAGACCGATACAAAACCATCCTCCCCAGTCAGTTACTGTCCGTCTCACCTCAGTAGAAAAGCTCTTGGTGTGTTTATTCCCATTTATCACCGTGCGTTATTTGTATGTTTGTCTTTAGACCCTGAGAGCCGAGTGATCCTGAGGAACCCGGACGATGAACCTGGGCCTGATCGCTACATCAACGCCAACTACATCAGGGTAAGAGTCTAACATTATTTCTTACCAAGTCAACTAACCCCACAGATTTCTGTCATCTCACACTCTATGTCAGGTGGGCCTTTCCCACCGACCACATCAGGTCTCTGTAATCTCCTTTTTTGTCTCAGCACAAATGAGCATGTTGTGCTCTTGTGGTTTTAGTTGCTAATTTTAATGGTTTAATGAAAAGTATGATATATTTTCTGGAACTAATATATTTTTTGTTTAAATAAAAATTGATAGTATACACTCATCAGCAAACATCTAAGCCACAGGATCACAGGAAAGAAGCTCAAAGGATCTGGACATGTGGTCAAGATGATCTGGTGAAGTTCATTCTGAGCATCAGAATAGGGAAGAAAGGTCATTTAAGCGAATTTGAATATGGCAGCTATTTCAGGAACTGCTGAGAAATACTGGGATTTTCACACACAGAGTTAAAAAAAAGTCATAAAAAGAGAAAACATCCAGTGAGTGGAAGTTCTCAGGGTGAAAGGTGAATGACCGGACTGGTTTGAGCTGATAGGAAGGCAACAGTAACTCAAATAACCATGTTTCAGCAAAGGTACGCAGAAGAACATCTGTTAATGCACAACATGTGGAAACCTGAAGCAGGTGGGCTACAGCAGCAGAAGACCACATTAAGTATTCTGGAAAACAGAAGGTTGCCTGGTCTAATGAGACCGCCGACATGTTTTCTGCTGCAACATTTGGATGGTCAGAATTTGGCATAAAGAACATAAACATAAACATATTGTTGCTGACTATGTCCATCCTTTCCATCTTCCGATGGCTGCTCCCTATGAAATTTTCATGGCTTATTTCCAGTGTTGTTCCTAAAAACAGAAAAAAAGACAGAAAGTGACGGTTAAGAGGCTTTTTAATTCAGGCTCATGGTGGTTTAAAAAGACGTGTCAGAGGTCCTTATCAGAGATCCTTGCCGTACCGCAGCAGAGAGAAACTGAATCCTGGACATTTCTCCTAACTCTAAAATTGTGCTGGGATGATTAGGAGCTTTTAAAGGCTTGCACTGTCAGAGTCTGGGCTGTCATCTTCAGGGCTGCTGCATCTTCTATGAGTGTATATTTATTATCTATACTTGAAAAAATATACTGCAGATAAAATTGTTTGAAAATAGATACTGTTGTTGAGATCTCAGGTTCAGTAACAATGTCTTTTCTTTCATTTGAGCCGTTTCATTTTATTACTTAGTCCTGGATTAAATGAGTCAAGTGACAGAAAAGAAAATATGTTTCCTTCAGGGTTTTATTAAAAAGGAAACAAGCTGATAGAGTGTGTGACAGCGTTGTCACTCTGCGTGGGTGTCTTCTCGTTTGTGTGTGTCTGTGTGTGTTTTGTGCGTGTGTGTGTGTGTGTGTTGGACAGCTAAACAAACAGAAACTCAGATATGAGCCGTCGGTTTGTCAGCGTGGGAGTTTGCAACCAGGAAAACCACAGGAAGTGAGGGAGGAAGTGACATGTCCCCGACTCCCCCTCCCCCTGTCTTCCCTTATGGCCCACGCATCCCTCACACTGTGCAGCCTCAGCTCAATTTGTGTGTGTTTGTGGAGTGTGCGCCTGTGTTGTTAATTTTTGACAGTTTTCATGAAGCGCCTGCTGCCTCTGCTGATGTGCAACAACAAGTAAAAAGTAGCATTCATTCATCTGCCCGTTCAGTTAAACTCCTGTTATATTTGGTGGCGTGCTGGTTGGACCCTTGACAGTTGTTATTGAATCTGAATCATTCACTTCCTGCCCTGTGAGGCCAGGGTGGTTTTAGAAGTCTAGGGGATATGATGAATGTGTGTGACAAAAACAACAAGTGACATTTCTTAATCTGCATTTGCATCCATTTATACCAACCTGAGAAATGAAACAACACGAAGAAAACGGTCAGAGTGCATCCAGCTCTGCTGGAAAATACCTCATAGTTGATTTGTGCAAGCCTGGTCTGGAAATGCCCGGTCCACAAGTCAGCAAATGCGCTTGTCAGTCACCTAATCAGAGCTGAGATGGAAACAGAGAACACTAAAATAGAAATTAGGATGTAAAACATGCTTTAAACTGTGGCGTCGGGGCTGGGTGAACTGTGATTTGTCTCAAAGACACAACTGCTGCAGCTACGATGCTGAAAAGGTGTCCCCTAGATGTCTCTACCACAAGTACAGAACTCTGTGGACTTTCTCTTTATTTTATTTGACAACTAAAGTCTCAGTTTCCTCCAAAATATCATTAAATGTTTCCTTCCTATACCTACATTTTTGACACTAGAACCTCCAGTGGTTCTAGTGTCCTGGTATTGACCTCAGAGTAAAGCATTATACTGTGAGAAAGTTTACTGACTGATTGTTGTGAGATTTGATGCTCTTTATGTGGCAGGGCTACAAAGGGGCTCCCAGGGCCTACATCGCTACCCAGGGGCCCATGGTGCACACCGTGGGAGACTTCTGGGACATGGTGTGGCAGGAGAGGAGCAGTATCATCGTCATGGTTACGAGGCTGAAGGAGAACAACGAGGTGAGGAGACACAAGTGTTGTTTCCCTGTGTTCATTTCATCCTTTTGTGTAATAGCTGTGCTGCACCGCAAATTTGTGGAAAAACAAACTGAAGTAGTGACATTATGCAGCGGCACACCCTCCTCTGCACTGCTGTCGCTCTTGAGACACTCCCTGGTTGTCCTCATTTCACTGGATCTCCTCCATTGTGTCAAAAGTTCAACCTGAACTTTATTTCGGGGGAACAGGATGACCTCACAGGGTGCCAAATCTGTCAGGTAGCCTGAGTGATGAGCAGCCAAAATTGTTGTGGACTGTCAGTACACTGGGAGCCGTTGTATTCAAGATGGAGCACAGCAGCGCCTTTTCACCAAGGTTCAGATTGATTAAAGTGACAACGTTAAATTAGAAGTCGCAGCTGAATTCGCTGTTGCACAACAACACAGATATCGCACAAAATAACAACCACAGTTCTAGTCATGCATGTTTACTCACGCAGCTTCCTCTGTATTAAGAAATTCTGCGTGGGTGATTGGCAGGCCAGCTTTCATCAGTAAATATGATGTACAGAGTCCATTAAAGAAAGCTGCTTTTCATTATTATTTATTATATTTATTATATATATTTATGTTGTATATTTTCTACTCCATTTAATGTGACTTTATTCTTGTATTCTACTGTGCACTGAGCTGTGCATTCATGCTACATCCATCTGATTATGGATCTGAACACTTGGCTGTTTGTCTGTTTGAAGAAATGTGAGGTGTACTGGCCACAGCCGAGAGACAAGACGAAGAGGGTAAAGGAGGAGGACGAAGACACGGAGGAGAAGGACGGGCAGAGGGAGAAGGAAAATGAAGAGGAAGGAGAGACGAGACAAATCGGCAGATTCCTTATCAGAGTGAAAGACAGCCGAGAGAAAGACGGATTCACGGTCACAGATATGGAGATTCAGGTACAGTAGAGTTCGCAGATTTCACCTCCATGAGCCAGATGAAGCCATGTGTTAAATGTTTGTCATTTCTGAAGATCACTGTCTAAATGGATGACTGATGTTATTGCAGTCCTGCTCTACAAAGCTGCACTGCTTAAATGCTTTGTGGTTAAACAAAGATGGACCGATTAGACATCTGCAGAGGTGTTTGGGGGTTTTTCTGGTGAAACCACTCTGATTACAGACTTATGAAATATTTCTTAGGCTTTTATCAGCTTCTTAAAGCTTCTAGAAGATGTTATTAGGTTTGTACATTCATAGCAGTGAGTGGAAGTAGCTGAGTGAACTAAAGCAGAATCATGATCAGTGAAAATGAAATTACGTCTTTTAAAGTTTTTACTATTTCTTTTCCATGTGGGTTTCCTTGTCAGTCTAACAAAAACATCTTTGTAACGAATAAAAAAAACAATTCATTCACATTTGGCTGATAAGTTTAGTTTACTTAAGGTTTAAAACCTTTTTAAATTTTAGGAAGAAATAAAATAGTACTTTATTATAAATGCACGTTTCCAAAATAAAACCAACAGAAGCACCTGAGTCTGTGCACCTGGTTTTGTTTGATAACTGTGTGTTTGTGTGCTTTCAGCTCCATTCAGAGTGTCGACACGTCAGACACTACTGGTTCACATCTTGGCCTGACCATCATATCCCACAATGCATAGCTCCATATCTAAGGCTGGTGGAAGAGGTGGAGACGTACAGCAAGTCCCTCGTGCCGCCCTCTAGCTCTCAGGAAGTCTCTGCGCCCGCCTCCAGCCCTGGACCAATCATCATCCACTGCAGGTCAGTTTTAGTTTTCCTTCAAAAAAAATTGTGATTTCTCAAAATGGATAAAATTGGTTCTGGTTAGTTCACGTTACCTGACGAAACACAGACAGGTGTCATATCTTACTCAACTAAAGCGTCACTTCTCTCGCTTCATTTTGCTCACAGCATCGAGAGAAATAAACAAGTTAGCCAAATAAATAAAATCTGCTGTCAAGCTCCAGTGGCTACGACTCAATTCATTTGATTTTTATTTAGTATATAGCACCAAATCACAACAACAGTCCCCTCAAGGTGCTTTACATAGTAAAGAAAAGACTATTTAATGATAGAGTGCAAACCCCAATAATCATATGATCCCCTCCAAGCAAGCACAGTGGGAGGAAAAACTCCCTTTAACAGGAAGAAACTTCCAGCGGAAACAGGCTCAGGGAGGGGCGGGGCCATCTGCTGTGATTGGTTAGCAATGAGTGGAGGAAGACAGGACAAAGACAGGCTGGGGAAGAGAGACAGAGATTTATAATAATTTATGATTAAATGCAGAGAGGTGTATAAACACATAGTGAGTGAAGAAGAATCACTCAAAGCATCATGGGAAACCCCAGCAGGTCTATTGCAGTGTAACTAAGGGAGGATTCAGGGTCATCTGATCCAGCCCTAACTTTACGTTTCTTAAAAAAGGAAAGTTTTAAGTCTAATCTTTAAAGTAGAGATCGTGTCTGTCTCCTGAATCCAAACTGGGAGCTGGCTCCACAGAAGAGGCCACTGGCCAATTAAATCTCATTATGAAAAAGTCACAAGAGAACAGAACAGCTGTTTATGCTGTTTATGCATTAAAATGAAGAAGTTGATCATTGCACCATGTTTTTATAAACAACGTTGGTAAAAGAGAACTAAGTGCTAACCAGCTACAGTTTCATTTTTCTCCTGCACTGAAATAAACGCAACAAGTCCCACCCTGGAAGGGCAAAAGAATTTTCTAAATAAAAGCTTGTGTGCAAAAAATTTGCTTCAAATAAAGTCACAAAACATAACTGATTTACAAACTAATTTTACAAAAATAACTTTACGTTTACTTGTGCTTGACAACAAGGCAGCTGTGTGACCATTCAGGAACATGTTTTTAAACTGAAGTATAGACCTCTTTGCACAAGAAGGTGCTTTGCAATAATCCAAAAAGACAATAATACAGTAAAATATAAAATACATTGTGTACATAAAGGAGAGTGAGGACCATAAACAGAAGTTAAAACATGCATCAATAAACCACTCTTGAAATACATCCGCTGAGAGCAGCGTGATGGTTATGGGTGAACAGACTGCGATGTGTCAAACCAGAGCCGCGGCCGATGTGTCGAAAGCTGCTTCCTGCCTGAGAGCAGGGGTGGCTGCCTTGACTGAGCAGCCAACCACAGCAGAGAGGACAGATAAAAGTTTAAAGCGATGGGGCTGCGGTGACCTGACACACGTCTTTGAGTACCAATATGCTGCTGCATGCCTGAAGCACACAGAAACCAGAGATTCTGAGCAAAGAGTAAATAAATCTGCTGTGACTGAGTTCAAAGAAAAGTCAGCACAAAGGTCATGGATCTTACCAACTTTTCTAGAAACCTTCCCTATCATCTCCTCCACATTAGCCGCTTTTTAGCTGAATATCGTAGGACTGTCACAAGACAATCTTTGTAATTGTTCCTGTTCTCAAGTAAGAACTGCATCCAAAGGTGGAGCTCTAAAAACTTTGATTATTATTTGATTGATCAAGATTTTGTTCTTTGTGTTGATGAGACAGATGGATGAGTCGGATGAATACAATACTCATCCTAAATCTACACTGCTGTTCTCCTAACATCTCCCCTGTCCTCCCCTCTACAGTGCAGGTATCGGGCGGACAGGCTGTTTTATAGCCAGCACTATCGGCTGTCAGCAGCTCAGAGAAACCGGGCAAGCTGATGTCCTGGAGACAGTTTGTCAGCTTCGACTCGACAGGTGGGTGTTTTCCTCTCTCTTTCCTTTGCAGTCCGTCTTTAACATGCAGTTGCATGTTTAAAACCTGTGGTCTGCTCATTTGCAGGGGCGGTATGATCCAGACCTCAGAGCAGTACCAGTTCTTGTACTCCACACTGGCCCAGTACAGCTCCCAGCTGCAGCAGAAACAGGTACACAGCAGCACCCTGCCGAGACTGCTGCCTGTGGCCTTCAGCTCTGAGCCCAGTGGTTTATACAAATGTCTAAAAACAACAAACAGATCATTCAAAAAGTCTAGTTTTCTGATTTTCCTTCTTTAAATGTGTTTGTAGATTTATTGCACATTGAGTGGCAGCAACTATAAAAACAGTTTTTGGGGGTCCTGGTGTTGTTGTCGGGTATGTGCCCTATGTGACAATTCATAGACTGTATATAAAAGATGGAGTCAATCGTGGCGGTGTGACCCACTAGTTGGGGCACAGTTTTTTAAACTAGACCTGGGGAGTGTGCCTGAATCTAAGCATGATACTGAGGGACACTATAGGCTCACAGGCTTGTCCATCACAAGCCTGTGAGCATACCCTACTTTAGCCTGTTTTTTAAGTGTATTTGCTACCACAAATGACATGATAAGTTGTACTGAGCTATATTGAGTAAGTGCAACGGGAGCCACAGTCTTGTAAACAACCAGAAATGCAGCTTTAAGGCACTTCCACACTGACTCTGTTCATACAGTCTGTGGGGACTGTTAGAGCCTCGAGTGGCCATTATTGGCGCTGCAGCCACAGATTGCTGCCTAGTGTTAATATATGCAGTCATTGCTGCACAGCGCTTTGCACCAAAATAGTTAGAACTTGGTGGGAACTGTTTTCATCAACAGTTGGTGCGGTGGTGCATGTCTGTGGTGGCAGGATGATGTGGTTGGAACTGAATCCAAATAAACAACAGTTTGTGTGTTAGCAATGAAACATGTAACATCAGCCGCACCTTAATCACCTGAACCACAGCAGCCATCAGAGGACAGCTGCGTCTGTAATTTTTGGTTTGAGGTTGTAAACAGTGTACCAATTCTGAATATTTACAGAACCAGCCTGGCACACTGCCTCAGAGCCAGCAGAACCCAGAGGACCAGGTCAGCATACAGCTGCAGAACCTCGAGCTACACAGCAAACAGAACAGGAAGATCTCATAGAACCTGGATAACCAGCAGTGTCTTCAGAGAAGTCCAGGAGAAGCGAGGAGAAAGACGCCAGCAGCAGCAGAACTGATGCACCAGCAGGGGGACGAGGAGGATCCTACAGGGGCCCCAAAGAACTGGTGTTTGGCTCCAATTTGACTGAACAAGCACAGAATAGGAATAATTAGAAGATCAAAAGCATCATGTTCATGACAGACTAAGACTGAATCAGACTAATTAAATAAAATAAGGCAGGAATATTCATTGGCTTGGCTGTGGTGTTTTTCGAGCAGCTATTTACCACACACATTCATTTGTTTAACTCTAAATATGGCCTGCTAAGTATGAAGACATGTTTTAATAGTCAGAACATTTGAGGGTATCAAAACAAATCACATAGATCTCTTCATGAAATGCGACCAGGACAGTTTGTCACATCAGCAGTGGCATGTTTGACAATCACAAATCATTGGATCACCATGTTTCTCTCTTATTATTTGACCCATTCTGTTAATTTATGAAACAAAAACACCTCTTGAGCCTTGTTGAAATCTGCTGTTTTTTGATCTCCTTTAGAGACTAATGTGTATAAAACAATCAGATCAATAAATTATGAATATAAATACTTTTTCACTCAGCAATTTTTAAAGGACACATTCAACCGACCAGCTCTGCATTAAATCTTTTTCAGAAAGTTTAAATATTTTAATTCTATGTTTTAAGCTTCCAATAAAGTCCTGTGAATAAGTAAGTACACCCTATGGAAATATCTGGACAGCAGGTAAACATAAGGACCCTTGTGTCCAGAGATGAGGGTGGTATGCTGAAGAAAAATGCTTCTTCAGCCCTTCGAGCAAAAATATTAAAAGATGTAACATTCTTCTGTTCAAACAGTGCACCTCCTGACATCAGAAATGATTTTTCGTTGGTGTTGCTGTGCATTCAAAATTCCTTCAGCTGCCAGCTGTTCAAAGTGAATCATCAGAAAGCAGATCAAACATTCAGGGCGCTGGTGCTTGTTTCTGGTCCTCTGTGTCATGGACATGAAACTGGGGCAGCTTTGCCTGGAAACAATGATCTGTGCCGTGACCGATGTTCAAAGTTTGTTATAGAAAAAATGGTCTTTTAACAAAATGTGATTCTGGTTTCAGATTCTGCCACGTGTACTATTTGTCCAATTATTTTAATTAAAAGCCTTAAGTCCTGCACTTGACATAATCAAGGCAAAACATGACCCATCCCATCTACTTTCAGTGCCTGTAAATGGGAAACACTTTATTAAAATTATGACTAATTCATTTTTACATTATGACTTGAATCACGGGTCCATTCCAGGTTCATGTTGAACTCTAAGATGAATGGCTTCATATTACTGGAATTATAACTAAGAGCCTACGATTTCACATGCAAGAAAGGAAATATACAATCATTTCAACAGTAAATGTGCAAAAGATGAATGTTTAAAGTGTTACTAATAATGCATTTATTGCACAATCAATTATCAATAGCGTGAATATTGCAAAGAAAATTGCTAATAATGCAGACATGCACAGTGAGTAAGTGCTTCATATTAGCTTTAATTATTCCAGAAACAAAAACATTTATTTCATAGCGGTGACTGTCCTCGCACATAATGTGCAATAACTTGTACATTGTGTGAAAGTTATTGCACAAAACACATTAAATCATATTTATATGATTTAACACAGAGCAATGAGAGAGCGAGATGGACGAGAGAAGCTGACAGAGAGGTAGGTCAGAAGAAGAGAGAGACACGGGTCATCGATGTCTGCTGAGGCCCATCATTGTTATACATCTTAGATTAAAAAAAATTGTTGAAACCTGTTGTCCTTAATTAGATGGCCCCGTAGCAGCTGCCAGAGGGCAAGAGATGAAACAGGTTAAATCGAGGATGCGAGGGGTCCTTCTAAACATTTTTGGCCTTCGTGAGGCAGCAAAGGTGTACAAGCCCTGCTGGGAGGGCAGAGAGCAGCCGACAGTCTTCTTTATAGAGGGGATGTAAAAGGTCAAAATACATATATCTGGTTTGCAGAACGTCATTTCTAGAGATGTGCCTTAAAATTTGATCTGAAATGACTCGTTATTCGTCATTGATAAGATATTACAATATTTACTTCCCTTTACTGCCAAATGTGTTTCACGAATGACGCACCTCACGGTGTCCCCTAGTGGTGGCCCTGGTGCCATTCCCGAGTCAGTCCTTTATGAATTCATTTAAAGAAAGTGCTCCAAGTTAAATAATTATATAGCAAAGCAAACTTTTTAAAAATGAGAATGTGTGTTTTTCTAACGTGATAAACTTCTATTATTATGAAGTTTAAACCAGAAAAAAGGAAAAAAAAACTTTGTATTTTTTTTTTAGCGTGAAAAGCCGAAGGAGGGCAGTGTTTCACTCATACATACGTCTGACTCCTCTTTGCTTTGCTTTCTTCTTCATGTATCAGCCCCACCCAAACAGGAAGTAGCCCCTAAACCCCCCCCCCCCTCCCCAACACGTTAACTAACAATTTAAACGTACCTAATGAAAATTAAAACTGTAGACTAAAACAGCTTTAATTTTATTTACTGTAGAGACCTTCTTGTATACATGTATACGTGCCCACGCTAAACGTTTGTTTAATATAAGGTTTGAACATACGTTTTTTGTGTACTGTTTTATTTTGAAGGGTGCCACACCGGATGTGATGAGCTGCGTTACTTTCGTATTTGACATAGCCGTGAGTAAAAGGCGTAGCTAGTAAACACCACAGCAGACGTCCGAGGCTGAAAACACCGATTGATTAAACCCGTGCCCCGGTACATGCTAAGCCTACCGGTGTGTTTGGTTCTCCCGGTGCCGTCCGCGGTTGTCATAGTGACTGTCAGCCTCCAAAACACCAGAACTGTCGGGGCGTTAGCCAGCCAGCTAACAAGCTAGCATAGCCATCAAGACGTAGCCGCATCAGTCGCAGCTAGCATTAGCATTAGGAGCAGAAGACAAAGATGATAGCCCTTATCAACAAGCTGCTGGACTGGTTCAAGGCGCTCTTCTGGAAGGAGGAGATGGAACTGACCCTAGTTGGGCTGCAGTACTCGGGGAAGACGACCTTCGTTAATGTGATAGCGGTAAGGCTAATTTTTAACTGCTAGCAGATGTGCCAGCTGTCAGTTAGCATCTGGTTGCATCCATTGTTGTCCTGCAGCGGTGAGGTCAGCGTGTCTCCAACAGGAGTCGATAAGGTGGTTGTTAAATCAGTTTCTGCACAGAGCTGCAGCCCGACTTCATGTCCCCCCGGTGATAGAAGCTGCTAAGGCTTCGCATGAAGCCCATGATCGAGCGATAATTTATGACAACTGCTTTTACATTTGCACCGGTGGGCTTTGGACAGAAGTGAAGGCCACCCTTTGGGACTGGACTGTCATGCTTAGCCCTGTTATCAGGGCCGCTGTTGAGACTTTCATGTCTAGTGATGATGGGCGCGCCCCCCCCCCCCCAACAGCCCAACCCGACCCTGCCCAGCTCATGTCACTGACCTACCCTATCACACACTAGTCACCCCCCTGTCATACCTCATTAGCCTCCTGTGCTGCCCAGTAACATAGTTAATGATTGAGTGACCCACTAACATATATTGTCCTTAACTCAGTGAGGTTTCCTTGGTTGTCTTTTATTGATTTTGACACCATTATTGATTATTCTTATGGCTCATATTCTTTTATTGATTCACCATCAGTTTTCTGTGTGACCGATATTAGATCTGCACATGTTTTCACTTCTATTGTCTTTAAGTCTGAAGATGCTTTATAAAATGTGCTTTTTTCCCATAAATGCTCGTCTTTCCCTTAAAAAAAACTAGGAGAACAATGTTCTGTTAAGTTTATATTTACAATTTATAGATGTTCTATGTAGTTTAACTGTAGTTTTTGTTTAGGTTTAGTGTTAGCTAAGCTTGTTTGTTTGGGGGCGGGGGGTTCAACTTTTTGGAAGCCAACTTTTTGGCCTTCATGATTTCAGACTTTTCTGTGACCTGCTGATATTTTGCAGATTCAGATTTTCTTTCTACGAAACTATAACTGAAAACATATCAAAACAAAAATCAAGCTTCAATGGTGTTTTCATAACAATGAAAATGATTAAACTTTATAATGGCCATGCTGCTGTAGCTGGCTCTGAGCTGTGGATATCCTTATTTTTCATATATATAGGTTCAAAGTAAGTGTTAAAATACAAAAGTAACACTTAGGATACTTCCTGTATGTTTTATTTTAGTGAGAACTCAATATTGTTTTTGTCTTTTCCAAAAGTCTTATTTATATTGTGGTTATCTGAACGGTTGATTCACACAAAGTGAGTAGCTAAACTTTCCAAATGAACTTTACCAGCCAGTGGATGATGTCAGAGTTACTCTCTGCACCTTTTATGATATAGTCTTTGTATAACTGTACGTTTCTTTGTGTTTTTCAGTCTGGTCAGTTCAGTGAAGACATGATTCCCACAGTCGGATTCAACATGAGGAAGATCACTAAAGGCAACGTCACCATCAAGGTCGATAGCTCCGTTTGCTGCCTTTGTCATGTGTGCTTTGTGGATTCTTTTTTTTTTTTTTTTTCAAATTAATTTGAAACAATAATCCATAAAACATGTATTTAGCATTATAAGGGATACAAAACAGCTGGGGGTTTTTGTTGTTTGTGTTGGGGGGGGGTAGGGGTGGGCGATAGAAACTATATACGATAGAAACAATACAAATTTGGCCAACGATAGAGATTTTGACTATATCGCTCTATTGCGATAGCACATGTTGATGATGTCATCAAGCTGCGCCTGTTTTGGTCGAAAGCATCGCAACGGCTACAACCATTATCATCTGCAAATTATGGTGGGCGACAGTCATAGCAAAGAGATGAAGCACTTTTGAAATATGGGGAAAGCCAAAAACTGCGCTTCCTCCACTTCCGTAACATTAATTCATTAATGTTGAATTCTCTCGCAGCTGCTCTGTTCCCATATTGTTGCAGTATATTAATAACTAACCTGGATGAATGATCTCAGTTGTTCTCCTGACTGAAGTTTGGACTGAAGTCCTCAATTTATAAATCATAGCAATCATTCTGGTACTTAGCATTATACACTATATGTGTCTCAGCTATTTCAGTAACCCTTTAAAAACAGCAATTTTAACAAAAATAATGATATTGGTATTATTTTTACTTTTTTATCAATATTATTTCTTTTGCCTTTTAATTTGTAGTTTATATTAA